GCGGAAATTACCTGCCATGCACATATATGGCCGGTCTGAAGACGCTGCACCTTAGTTACCCGGCAGCTGGCATGCGGGAAGGTGTTCATGCAGTCGTTCATTCCATCCTTGACTGAATTTCAGCTCAGGCAGCGTCTTGCATGCTATCCTTGCCACCTTCAATGCATATTTAGAGGCGCTCGGGACTTTGTCTCGCTCTACTGAACATTCACACTTATTGTCACTGCAAACCTATCTCCTCATAGAGTTTTTAAGCTACAGCGATGAGAGATATACTGTTCGATTTCCAAATAAAAGATCTAGAGATTGGTCCTAGCTTTTTTCAATTTCGTTATAGTTTTAAAATTATTTAAAAAGGGGGGGGGGAAATTGGGAAATCGGAAAATTTTTATAAACATTTACGAAAAATGCTTCTACCCAGAAAAATTTGAATTTCTAAAAAAGCTATTATGAATCGATAGACATGGTCCTTACGCATCGATTGATATGCGTCTTGATGTTGTAGTTTGAAAGTCCTAGGATGAGAAAGATTTCTACAGTCCCCCCTTTTTTTGCCGTTTTCTAAGAATTTCACGTTTTCTTTCATTTTTTTTCGAAAAATTTACATGAACAAAATTGTCTTACGTTTCGGTTTTACTTACGTAGGTGTACCAAGTTCCAAAGTGATCCGTCCGTAAATAAAAAAGTTTTTCAGGACTCAGGACGCTCCCCTCATACAAAGTCACGACACAGCCGTAGTCAGATCGCGTTTACATTTAAATTCTATAATCTATAGCATCGCCAATATCTAGTACGTAGACAGCTTATCCCTACGCGCAGCTTCTACGAGCTGCAGGGAGTCAAAAAGTACGAAAACTAAACAGCAAACTCAGAAATGCTAAATTATGGCAGCATTCATGACTCCGTACCATACCTACTGAGTAGATCAGTGCAAATGATCGTTAAGACGAATATTACGACAGTAACTAAAATATTCCAACTTCGTGAATCTCACGACCCCTGCAAGCTATGTTATCATGTCATATATAGCTCGATTGTACATACTTCTTTACTGATAATGTTAATGGTATTCGCGGTGACGAATTTATGAATGTGTTCGGCGTTAGTCTGATATGTAGTAGAATACGCATTTCTTGAATGTGGACCTGCAAATCCAGGTAACAGCTTGTCCACAAGATAAATCTTTCTAATTCACATTCAGAGTGTAGGATCGAAAGCATAATTTATTATCTATTCATTAGTTATTTGATTTCTGTTGAAACTCAGTAATTTAATTGTTTGCTTACATCGAAGATTGCGAATCTCTCCCAGCTGCTTGCCAAATTGCTTTCACTTTTTATATAACGACAATCCATATAATACATCATAGATACTGGCCGGGCTGGCAATTAAAGCTATAGAGATTAAAACAAATAAAACTAGCAAGAAATATAGATATAAAATGTTATTATAATAACTAAAGACAGATCTGTGGTGACATCATTGACATGGTAATCTATCATCGAAATATTTCGTGTCCCACAACTCGCTGGATGTGTGGATGATATGACGTGGGTCAAAAAGTTCAGTCTATCCTAAATATCATGAGCGATGCTAATAATATTTACTACTTGAGGACAGACTGCATTGTTTTGCAGCGGTAAACATTATAGAAATTATAACTTTCCCACTCAATTATTATACACATTACAGAAATTATTACTTTCCCTCTATACTGTGTCAACACCGTTTAGGACGTTAAGGTCGCTCTTCGCTCTCACAATTTTTTCGGTTATTTTCTGTCGGCTGATCCCTGCAGCAGGTTAGTTTAAGCTCAAATGGGTTCCTATTTATTATCTTAATTATTGTTATATTGGATTATCATTTGCTTATTCATCTTAAACGACGATTATTTTATAGATTATAGCATTCTAACATGAAATTTTCATCATTATTACTTACCCTCCTGCTTCTCACACACCCGTAGCATCCTTATCTTTCGTGAGAAGCAGCTCTCATCGATCGATCTCATCTCTCGATCGAATCTCTCCTGAAGGTGGTCTGCATAAAGGGCAAGGAGAGAAGCCTTAACACCGAGGGCGTTTGTGCTGCAGCAGAGATGCTGGTCCCTGTATGGAGCGATGGTACCGCAGGCATTTACTTTAAGATTTTATAATTCCAATTGACTATCAAGAGCATTACAAGCTACAATGCGAAATTCGGCACCGCTTCAACAAAATTCCCTCCAACTCTGCTGGCCCGACTACCTGCTACCCTTGTCGACGCCAGTGACTACTACGAGCTGAAAGCTGCTGTCTTATGCCAATATAAAGCAACCAAACCGAAAATATTTGAAAAACTGATTTGGTCAACTACTTTTGGCAGCAGGCCATCGATTTACCTTCAGGAAATCCAATCACTGGCCGATCAAGTCGGAGTGATAAAAGAGTTGATTCGGCACAAGTTTGCAAAATATCTCCCTTTCAATATTGCTGCAATAATAGCTTTTCAAAAAATCCTCCTTTTAGGAAGCTGGGCATGCTGGCAGCTCAGTTAATTCCTTTCCCTGGCCAAAAGCAAACTCCAGTAAATGACGTAACACAGGGGCATAGCAACCATCCTTCGAAGCCATAAAGTACGTATCACGACGCCAACGAGAGAATAATGCTTACCTATCCCTCGGTCTTAAACTTTTTTTCTTCGCGTGAGCACGTACCTGAAGTCTGTCGCACCCTGAAGCCGCTCGGACTTGCAAATCCTTGATGCAAGTGGCTAAACAAAGCTAACTGCCGCATCCTCGCTACCTCTCGCCCATCTTAACATAACATTACATAACATAACATAACATAGTGATGTCGGCTCTGAAGTGTAGGCCTGATGTGGCCTGTCGCCGATTCTTTTCCATTTCGTGCCTTGTTCATAGATCTAAACTCGTGTCATTTGACCGGATCTTTTCATGACTGGCGATAGTTTGAAGAAGCTACTAGACTTCCAACACTGAAATCGTTTCGGTACAAAATTCGCGAGATAAGTCAAACCGGCATAGTAAGAAGTGAGAAAGTTGGGACCCGCAAACACTACGTGCGTCCCCGATCACTGCCAGAACTCAACTCAAAAGAACTCAAAGTGATCTCGGCGCTGCAGTGTAGGCCAGCTGATGTGGCCTGTCGCCGATTCTTTTCCTTTTCGTGCCTTGTTCACAGAAGATCTAAAATCGTGTCATTTGACCGTATCTTTTCACGACTGACGAAAGTTTGAAATAGCTACTCGACTTCCACCGGGTTCGCAGTGGTGCTAGGAATTTCAAATCTGAACATATATTTTTCCATAGCTTTATCGAGTCTGTTCTTGAGTGCGTTCATACTTGGAGCGCCAACGATGTCATCGGGGAGGCTGTTCCACATGTCGGTGATTCGAAGCGAGAAGAAATTTTGTCGCGTGGAGAAGTTGCAGCGTAGTTTTTTTAGTTTATAGCTGTGGCCCCTGGTGTTGGTTCTTGCTTCAAATCTTTATCTCGTCAGTCCCCACGCCAATCTGCTACACGTCAATCTCCTCTTAGTTTATCACAGCCTGAAAACTAATTACTCGGGTCAACCTCGCTTCCGAAGTCGACCCTCCGCTACTTGGAATCATTGCAACTTTTTGTACAACGCAATTGCATGGGCTTCCTATCCAACAGAGGAGCAGTTATCACGCTAATCCTTCCTTCTTACGCTTTAGGAATAACCTTATGTCTTACTGCAGTTTCTACGACCACTGCGACGGGTTCACCCATGGAGAAACTTCTGTTGAATGGACATTTTTTAAATTGAGAAGAAACAATTCGATAAAGTTTTATAGTCGCAGAAATCTCCCACGCTAGACGCATGTCGACTGTATAGCTAGCAGGCCATTATTGGATTCTTCCACTCAGCGCTGTATGACCGCATTTGCAGTGACCTCCGAAACAACTCATCTTGTGATAAATAATTATGAAAATGATAAATCATTATTCAACCATCTGACTCCAAAGCATTGCAATAATTTTTAAGTATGATTGGTTTCTACCGTCGTGTACATTTCGCGTCAATTATCTTGCACTAACGGAGCTCCTCAAACGCCCAAAATAAAAATCACTTAAGTTTCCAGATGACGACAAAAAAGCATTTGAAGCCTAATTAGTATATAATGATATATATTAGCAGGATATTCATGAGGTAAGCTGGAATTAGGAAACGAATGTTTTGTAACAAGAGCTTCCGAGCTAGAACAAGAGCTGCTCCAGCAAAATCTAGCATTTCTCATCGATCACTGTTAATTGAAGAAAATGCACTGAAATTTTTAGTTAAATTTCAGGGTGTTCCTACATCAAAACGTCGTAGAGCAAGTTGAAAAACTTCGATTGCATTTATAGTCCATATGATTTAACAACATAAATTGACAACTCATTTATTTCCAGGTAATAAACGATCAACAAAATGTGACGCCTTTTAAAATTAATGATTTAATTTAATTAATAGCGGTTTCAGCGTTTATTAGGCCGTAGGCCTGTCGCCAATTCTTAACATCGCAGAACATTCACAGCATTTTGCGGTCTCGAACTCCCAATTCACTGCTACAATTCTGCTGTGCTTAACCGCCCGGCCAATTGGCCGATTCTGACCAGAAACTGGCGCACAGATCTGGGACCGAACCCGCGCCTCTCTGCTCCAATCTTGGTACTCTGAACTTTAACCACTGGGCCACCCTGCCCACTATATTGATTGAACTATAAATAAGATTAAATGTAAGAAATATAATATAAGAAATGAGATTGAACTATAAATAGCTCATATTGTGTGATAAAGATTGCAGAACCATCTCAGTATCTGAAATCATTATGGTCTACTGTTTTTTTTTTTATTTATTATTCAACAAAGTTTGCGTACCCTTGGTGCAGCAAATCCAGTATTTTTGTAGGATGACTTCAGGAAATTGAGAAAAACTCGTTTATTCCGCACGACCGTCATGATTTTGAGGAATAATTACGTGGAAATGTCTAAATAAAAAGTAGAAGCTGAACATGGTGGACCTGTGCGAGTAACGTTATCATAAATTGAAACAGGATTTTAAATTTTCTAGGTTATAAATAATAAATATAGAACAAGGTAAACGTAATTAAAAAGTCTATAGTCATTTATGCAGTTCGTCTACAACTGATGCCAATGATCGAATCCTTGTGGCGTGTGCAAGAACAAGTCTATACCAATGTAGGATGTAGCCATGTAATTTTTACGATGATGTCATCACTCATCTTGTCTGTCACTTGTCAGTGAGCCTGTTACTTACTGCAGTTACTGGTAGTGGTAGGCAGCCTGTCAGGGTTGCCTGGCTGGGTCATGGGTCACGGGTGGTACCTACACTTCCAAAGTTCCAAGTCTTCCATGTCCAAATCCAATCCATGATTATCCATCACTTACAGCCTACAGGGATCTAATTCTGATTTCTGATTGATACAATTACCTAATCTCTTATTCTAGAGGAGCTTAGATTTAGAGATGTGACTGCATTGCTCTAGATACTTTGTTTACAATTGATTTCAAATTCAACCCGTATCTTTATATACTATAAGTTATACTGAGTATAAGTTTATACATATCATATATGTATAGTATACTATATGTCTTTAAAAAGTTATCCTACTCAAAAAATAGCCTATAGGTAAATAGGCATAGGCCAGGCTGTAGAGTAGGGCCTTCTAGCTCGAGATATCGGCGTCTTTTCAAGCTCTCCAGCCTCTCCATCAGCCACATCAACCTTAAATTGGCGTCCATGGCCGATCATAAACTATGGCAGAGTATGGCTCAGGCAGCCATGACCAATCATAAACTATAGATTGCTTGATCAGCCCAGCTGTCACCACGCCCATCTTCAGCTTGTTTGATTGCTTGTACCTATCTGTCACCCAATCACAATGTGCATACATCTGGCAAGCCCAATGCTACTGCTGAAAAAACTTGTCAATCTATTGTGTTCTAATGCAATCTATTGTGTTCTAATGCAATCTATTGTGTTCTAATGCAATCTATTGTGTTCTAATGCAATCTATTGTGTTCTAATGCGATCTATTGTGTTCTTACGTGATCTATTGTGTTCTAACATGATCTATTGACCAGTATTGTGTTCCAATTTGATCTATTGCATTCTACCGCGATCTATAGCGTTCTAACGCGATCTATTGTGTTCTAACGCGATCTATTGTGTTCTAACGTCATTTATTGTGTTCTAAGGTGATCTATTGCGTTCTACCGCGATCTATTGCATTCTAACGCGATCTATTGTGTTCTAACGCAATCTATTGTGTTCTAACGCAATCTATTGTGTTCTATTGTTTTCTAACGTGATCTATTGCGTTCTAACGCAATCTATTGTGTTCTAACGTGATCTATTGTGTTCTAACGTGATCTATTACGTTCTAACGCGATCTATTGTGTTCTAATGCGATCTATTGTGTTCTAACGTGATCTATTGTGTTCTAACGTGATCT